GTGTTGAAGTCCTTTGCAGATTCCCAAGCAATAATTTGTTTCGGTCTATTCACAACACTGATTGTTTATCTAGAAACAAATGGTCTACCACACACCTTGCTTATAAATCTCCAGCAAACATTTCATGGCGAGCATCATTCATAAATTCAAGAGGCATCATTCACATAGCCGGGATGCATCAAGGACAAAAAAAGGTGTCCTTCCCAATTCACCTCCCTTGATCACCTAAAGCAATCAACTCACACCTAAATCAACTAAACTCAAAGGAAACAAATCCTTAATCTCATCTCAAGGCACTCATACCACAAGAATCTTCTTGTGTATGCCCACACTTCCATACTTGCCGCCAAACACCGCTACTATCTAGCTCCACGCTGAGTCTACATTCCAACTCTGAGAATCTCATGTCTGGTCTCTCTTACTTCCGAACACGGAAAACTGGGAGAACATAACCCCCTTCGTAGTTAGTGACATTCTAATCCACCAGCCAAACACTCAGCCTCCGGTTGCAACCCTCGAGCCGATCATTACCATCGCTTCCTTCTTGAGTCTCACGACTTAACTGGAACTACCTCGAGTAAGGCACTAGAGACCTCAAAATCAACTAACCCACCTAGGTATGCACCATACAAACCCAAACTAGCATGGCCCTAAGGCACAAACAATCACTAGACCTATCCTCAGCCTGAACAACCATAACGGATAAGTCGAATAAGGCGGAAACACATTGCAATGAATCATGGTGCCCAACCATACAATCTACCCTCCATCAGCTCCTTAGAATCCCCAAATTCTCCACGATTCGAGTACGAATCTTGTGCTTTCAGTAGTACAGGCCTAATACTACCTTCCACACCTATCTGTACTTTCCTCAAGAATCGTTCTGGATCCTCTAAGTAACAACTCATGTCCTCTACCATCCAATCCAATCACATATACCTTATCTCAACAAATACATACCGTTAAACAGCGTACCAATTCCTCTAAGGCACTTCCTAGGCTCTCCCAGGATTCCCTCCTCACCATGCCATCAGCTGCTGAAGAACCTCTACCAATATAAGTTAACTACATTATGAATACAGTTACATGCAACAAACCTTAAATAATCTTTCAAATAAAAGACCCGACCCTATGATGGTTGGACTCGGACAAGAGCTACGTAATAGGGCCAAGCAAATCACTCTAAAATTATTTAACCTTCACTGCATGTAACTAAACATATTCACTTAATAGTTAGCTCACATCAATATGAGTCCCACAAAGCACAAAGCAAGTAGCATTCGGGCAGTAACACCCTAAAACATTAAGGCATCCTCCAACTCACTTGCTACAATGATGCTAGGAACTTCCACTAAAGCTGTTGGTTGCCTTATGCATGCAATTCTCATATACTCATACCAAAACAATAAGCATAACAAATGTATGGGTATTTTGGGAAATACTTACTTGAGCTCAGTTGATTGCATGCATCACATCCATTTTTCTTAAAAAACTTTTTGGAAAATCATTTTTCTTTTTAAAAGGTTTTAGAATCCTCAGTTTGAGTTCAGACACAACCGAGAGTGTGCTCGAATCCCTAAAACCAAGCCTCTGATACCAACTTGTAACATCCCAAAAATACCGACTAAAAGTTTCATTTTAAATAGGTTAAATCCATTCATTCTTTGTTCCAAAAGACATTCAAAGTCAAAGTAGTCTCAAAACATTAGAGTAATTTGTAAACATTCAGTGCGGGATAAACTCTAGGGGATGAAGTGCGATCAAGCCGGGACCTTCCTTTTGAAAACGGAAGTACCTGAAACCATAAACATAAACTTTAAGCACAAAGCTTAGTGAGTTCCCCAAAGTACCACATACCATACAAAATAAATGGTATGTGCCAAATCATAGTATTATAATCATTTCCTATCATGGGCCAAACCATGGTCTTTCCATACAGTGTCGAGGGCCAAATCTCGGTCTTACATACAAGTGCCAGGGGCCAGATCCAGGTCTTTCATATAATTGCCAAGGGCCAAATCCTCGTCTTTCATATAATTGTCAGGGGCCAAATCTAGGTCTTTAATGAAAGTATCACAGAGACAACTAGCATTCTACACAACAAGTAATGGACGGGCATTGGTGCCTTCGACCCACAAATACATTAAGAAAACTCACATGAACTACTCAACAGAAGCCCAACAGCTACATCGACATCAGAACAGCCAACCCAAACTTCCTAAAACCAAAACGAGACCAATTCTTAGTAAAAAACTCCATTCTACACAAGTCTGACCAAAAGTCAAACTGGTCAAAAAGTCAACAGTCAAAGTCCACAAGGTCAACAGTCAGCTTAGTCAAAGTCAACGTGACATCATGGTCATTCCTTGGTCACGTCGTGAGAATGTAACGATAAACAATCGCGATTTGGACACTGTCACGTTGTGACACATCCTATGTCACGTCGTGACTACTGGTCAGAAGGCCAAAATCTTCATTAAGTACTTAATCTCTTCAGAACAAGGCCCATAAGCTCAGATCTAATTCCTAAATAGCTTCATAATGGATAAAGTTTCCAACTTTATTCATTAGGATGGTCCAAACAACCAAGATCTAGACTTTAAGTCTCAAAGGGATCAAGAATGCATCTTTCTCAGAAAGATCCATTAAATCTAAGTCTCCAACCTTCAGATCTAAATCAACATAATGTTTAGATGGATAAAGCTTACAACTTTATCCATAATAATGTCTCAAGCTTCCAAGATCTAAACTTTAATACACCAAAATGGCCTAAATGACCAAAATACTTTTCATGGCTGAAAGGGAAGGCAAAAGATCAGAACTTTCCTAGTCCATGAGGTCCAACAAAACATTGTAAACTGATCGAAAAGGTGTTGAAGTCCAGATCTGAAACATACAATGCTCTTGGGACCTTGGGGAGTAATAAAGTTGCAAACTTTATTCTCAACTCTCACTCAAAACACATTAAAATGGACCAAAACACCAAATACACTTAGATCCAAAGATAAAATGCAATAAAGCTTGGAACTTTATAACTTACAAAGGTCTAGAAGGTAAATGAAGGTTGAGATATTCAATTACCAAGCTTCAAGGATCAATCTTGCATGAAAACATTGCTCCAAAACCACCAAAAACTCCAAAAAAATAGATGAGAGAGGAGAGGGGAGGCTTAAATCTTGAAAATGGAGGCTAGGGTTTCTTCTAGGAGGTTCTGGATATGATGGAGGCTAAGAAAATACCAAAAAACATGAATCCTTACCTTTAAATACCTTGAAAACCCTAATTTTTTTGTGGGCTTTTGGGTTGCACAGTTCTCATGTCGTGAGAATAAATTCTCACCTCGTGAGCACTTCTCACGGCGTGAGAGTTACTGCCCACCTCATGAGAACATATTTTCACCAAATTTCACTCCAACTTCAAACAGTCATAACTTCTTCGTTTCAACTTCATTTTCGACGTTCTTTATATGAACAGAAAGGTATTGACGAGCCCCACAACCATATATGATTACTTTTTACTTAAAACTCAGCCAACTAAAATCCTTAATTCATAAAAGAAGTCTGAAAAGCACTCTTCCCATTTTACTCTTCGGCTCCAAGACACAAACCAAGGCTTTAATCACTTTTTTAGTCTATCACAATAAGCCTTATACACAATTCATATGCAATTTGTTCTCTAACCCTCACAAACGATGCCTCAATAGCATATCCCTCCAAAAATCAAAATATCAGTGGTTTAATTTCATAAATGTGGACCAAATATTTATTGGAACATATATCAAAAAAACTTTGCTAACTATGAAAAAAAATACTTGCTAAGTGATTCCGCGAATTGAAGACATCGAAGGTGGTGGGACATTGAATGTTAGAGACACCGGAAGTGAGATGCGTCTGTATGTATGCTCCCTCTTTCAGAAAGAAAAAAAAAAGGGATAATGATTGTGAGAGAGACGTGGGCGAGAAAGATAATGAAAGCAGGAGATCAGCGAGAAAGAAAGCATTAGCCATAACATCGTGAGGAGTGAGGAATAATTGATTTATTAAAATCTCGAAACAAAACGCGTTTAATTAAAAAAATATGTCCCACTTATATGTTAGAGACAAATTTTCGTCGCAGAAAAAAAAATTCAAAAATTTCAAAACTTTGATTTTGATTTTGATTTTATTTTTCTACGATAACAAATCGCCGCTAAAGGTCAGAAAGAAAATGGTTCCCAAAAAAATATTTCCCGATTATCTATTAGAGACAAATTGTCATTGCACAAAAAAAACAATTTTCAAAATACTTATTACCATTAGCGATGATTTTTTTTCTCAAAGATATACTTTTTGAGACAACCTATGTCAGTCTCTGATCATCGCTAAAAGAGTGTTTTGTTGTAGTGGATGCACCACCTCAAGGTATGTAAGGTATGTGGCTTGATATCGCTCTCTAGATAACCAGAACATAAAACTTTTTTGGTTGATCGTAGGTAAAAAAAACTATATTCTAAGAAGTTGCATTAATAGTTTAATACTTATTTACATTGAAGGTGTACACAACTTCTTCGGTTCTTCCACGGATTATTATGCTTCAGATAACCTTAGCAAGGACTCGAAAAGTAATTAAAATTTAATCCATTTGTGACTAAAGAGCAATAAAACACAGGTTAGATAACATGAAGCCAATGAATCACACCGTCACACGACCAACATAAACAAAGTATATCACAATATCCGTAGAAGCAAAAAAGTTGATACCTAGTTATGAACCTGATAACTCAGTCATATCTCACCTTCATTAAGAAACGAATACAAACACATTGAAATTCTAAAACTACATTCACAAAATTAGCATCAAAAGGGAAATATAAAGCTCATCCATCTATTCTTCCACTAGGATAATAAATAAGGATTTTTCATCAACATTGCACGATTTTGACATTACCAAATCAACAACCACTTCTAAAGAACATGACTAATATTTACAAAAAGAAAACGTCAAGGGGCTATTGCTTAAGGTTACAGGATCTTGTCATCATCAAAGACATCAAATGAAAACCCCGGGGGAAGCGATAACAGCAAATCCGTAAACGAGCCTTTCCTTGACATACCGAAATCTTGTTTATATCCAGAAACATTCCCAAATTCCTCTTCCCATCCTTGTTTCATCCAATAATTATTAGAAGGTATATTACAAATAAGATTAGAATGATTATTTCCATCTTGCCAACCATATACAAGATCATCCATGGTAGCTTTCTGCCAACCATTTACTTGATCCTCCATGGTATTTTTCTGCCAACCGTATACATGATCCTCCATGGTATCTTTCTGGGTAGTGTTTGCATCCTGAAGAAGACATTCTGAAGTTGACAAAGAAATCATGCCCTCGTGGCTAGAATAGTAAATTCTATCTTGCCAACCATTTATGTTGTTCTTCCATACATCTTCCTGGGCAAAGTTGGCATCCCCAAGAAGCTGACATTGTGAAGTTGGTTGCAAAACAATGCCATTGATATCTACCACAGATGGAACTTTAAAAATTTCTAGTCTGTTAGAAACAATGTCATGTGATATATTTGGAGCCTCGATGAAAGCTTCTTGAAACGGCTTGTCCAAAACTGTGTCAAACTGTTGGCTAAGAAAATTAAGCCGTGTATCACAATGAATCAACTTTTCATAATGCTTATTTAGAACACCTTGTGCACATTGTAGATAATGTTTCTTGCTGAAACAATGGAATAAGAGAGATATTTTAGTAACTTATTAATCAAAAATCAAGTCAATAGTTGGTGTTAGGTTTGATAGAATCAATGTAAGAATGAGTATAATGAAAAAGAAAAAGTAAAAAAAGTTTGTTTTCTGTGATGAATTATAGACCATTTTGGAGGAATATGATTTTATCCATTTAATCAATTTTCACTTTAGCCAAAGGAGGTTTATTTCATTATGTGGAAAGGAAAGAAAACTCTAAGCTAACCATTTTTATTTATATAACTTCTAATGACAAGTAACAATCCTTTTTTTTTCAATTTCATGATTTTTGTTAACTTGTAATTATATTTTTCTAATTAAACCAAATATATATCTTTTATTATAATTTTATTTAGGTTTTAATGAGCTTTTAATGTGTTTAATTTTTTCATTTTTTTATTTTAATAAATAAAAACTTTAGCTAATATAATCAAATAATGTCGAATACCTAGATCTGCTTGCTTCTCCACCAGTAAAGTCAGATGTTGCCTGCCAAATGGTGTGTTTTCTAGGCAGTGGATTGGTCTCTCTGAAGAAAAGCGGCTGTTTACCAAGCTGACAACAAAAAGTACTATGTGAATCTATGGGAAATAGCCCTAATATATAGTTCAGTCATAATTAATGCGTCTTTAATTAGAAACAAGAAAAAAAAAACAATGAGAAATCAAATATCCTCATTTTTGTTCCTAACCATCTTCCCAGAATTTATGGATTTCATAAATCATTATTTTACATTAGTAGAAAGATGAATAGAAAAAAGGATAGAAGGATATTTAATTTGTCAAAAACAATAATGGAAGGAAGTCAATACCAAAACAGTCAAAGTGCCAGGACCATTCTCTGGAAAGTTTGCCTTCAGACTGAGAATATCTTCCCATTGGATTTCTATTTTATTCTTTAGACCACCATCAAGAACTTCCCATACAAGCTTATGCTTCGCAAAATAACACTTGGCCACTAAGTCACCTTCATGTTGTGACACATACTGCAACAAGAACAAATTTTAAATACATTTGAAAAGGTTTTACACACTAAGGTAAAGTTTCTTTTTTACTTAATATGCAACACCACTTTATCTATGTTTCCTTGTACATATATAACAGAAAAAGAACAAGTTAATAAAGAAAGTCTCAGGTATTTTTGAATGATCAAAACTAAGATAATGTTGGAATACATTACCTCCCAATTTCCAATTTTTAAACGTAAAGCTGGAAAATTAGAGGCCTTTAATTTATCAATCGAATCTGATGTCCCAACTTTGGTCTTAACATCCTTCTTGTTTCCCACTTGAAGATTTTCACTGGGCAAAGAATCATCATTCTTATTAACTTCGTTAAGTTCCTTTTCAATTAGCTCCAAAAATGATGGACTCTTGTGTAGCTTCAAACCCATTGGTTTGAACTCAGAAAGCCACTGCAAATCCAAAGATGGAATGTATATATTTGTTCTTAAACCATTCAAGATACACAATTAGAATCAAATTGAATCATCGTATTCTCATTTCTGTAATTAAAAATTTGTTTTATGAATTTATTGATGGTTCAAGAAAATGATATATTAGAATTGCAAATTGAAGCAATATCAGTTTTACTATCAGTTAAATATATAGAATCCGATTCCAGTCAAAACTTCGAAATATTAACTTATAACTTAGTTGAATCTTGTTTTATGAATTTATTAATGGTTCAAGAAAACAATATATTAGAATTGCAAATTGAAGCAATATCAGTTTTGTTATCAGTTACATATATAGAATCCGATTCCAGTTATGGAATTCAAAACTTCGAAATATTAATTCATAACTTATTATAAGTACCTGTATTAAGAAAGTGTTTCAGACCTATTAATTCAAAATTTTAACTCTTATATAACAAATACATAAACAACGATGTATTTACAGATGAATAACTATTATTTTATTATCTACAAGAAAAAATAGTGAAGATATAAATTGTAGAATCTAGAAACATAAACTAGGACCTCATTTGTTGTATCGTCAGAGGAGGACTTCATCCGTTTAGGTAGCGGTTCCTCGATCTTTTTCAACTCCATTGGACGCTTTTCCCCGGCTAAATCTGTGGTTTCCTGCTCTTGCCATTGCCATGCATTAGTCCTCTTCTTCTCTGGCCACATTAGCTGCACCGTGATTAAAATAAACTTCAAAGTTCTCAAAAAATATGACAAAGCAGAAAACCAGCAAGAAATGAAAAAACCCTAAAAAAATATGACAAAGCAGAAAACCAAACCCTAAATTCGATGAATAGACATGCAAGTGTGCCGAGCTTTGTGTACGTAAGGAATCCTCCGAAAACGAGGAGCACAAGAGGCGGTGTTGTTATAACCAAATAGTTCGGAGAAATCAGATAGGATACAGATAGGGAGAATCTTTTGAATTTGTGAAACCTTGTTGACGTAAGGAGATGCTAATATAATATGCATTTCTTGGATTCCAGGATATACTAACATTGTTTGATACGAGTTTTTAACAAATTGTATATTTAATGTAAAGAAAATATATAGTGAATAATACTGACTCAAATGGTCCCTTTGGTACAGTGAAACTAGCAATTTTGGTCAAACTATTTTTTCCTTTTTTTCCGTTGTTTATAGTATAGTATCTGTGGTTTAATTTAAATGTTTACAAGTTCGGTCGATGTAACTAACATCCTCATCCTCACTTAACGATATGTATACACATCTCTTTTCGCCCATGTAAACCCACACACCTTATTGAATTTTTTTTTGAACGGCAAATCTACTCTTACTACATCAACCTATGTCCCTACATCTATCTATGTCCCCTGACGCGACTTGATGGCTATTTGGTACGATATGTATACACGTCTCTTTTCGCCCATGTAACCACACACACTACAAGAAATACAGTCTTTAGCGGCGACACCGATCTTTAGCGGCGACTATTTAATTTGTTGTCGCTAAAGATCAGTGTCGTCGCTATTGGAGTCGCCGCTAAAGGCTGAATGACACCGATCCGCCCTTTGACGTTCTGGTAAACACGAATCGCCCGATCGTAGTTCTAATCCAACGGCTAGGGTGCTCGTGGAACGCATAAAGGAAATACTGGCGACTTTTTTCGGTGCTATATATTACCATTACCGGCGATTTCGTGACCTTTTAGCGACGACTTTTGTCGCTGCTAATTGTCGTTTTCCTTGTAGTGACACCTTGTTGGATTTAACTTAGTGGTTGTTTGGTAGTCTTCTAATGGTTCAATTAGAATGCATGCTTTGAATCAGACAAATTTAGAACATTCGGTGCCCTCTTAACTTTGTCTTTTATTCGAACATTATTAGAGCTTATCTTAATGAAGAAAAAAAATCCATTTCGCCCTAAAACAAAACATGCACTTGCATTATCTTTTGTTCTCCAGTCAAGAAAACATATAAACCATCTCCTTCTCTTCTCCTAATCATCGACCACAGTTCATACCTTCAACCCGCCGGGATCACCCTCCATCCCGCCGATGCACACCGCCCTCCGTCCCGACGGTGCCGCCCTCGTCCACCGTCTCAAATCAGCTCATCCACTGCATCTATTCCACCTCTGAGCTCCTCTGGTGCTTGCCTTCATCGCCTTTAAGATAGACTTCACCATACCTAGTTTGGGTACCGAATATGTATTACAAAAAGTCTAAATTAGCCAATCAATTTCCCCTTTAAGATATACTTACACATGCCTAGCTTATGTGTTGTTTGTTTTATAAGATGTAAAATGTCTACAGTCTGCGGACCACATCTGGAAACTTTAACAGAAGAAGAAGTAAACTAAATGTTTATAGTCTCCAAATGAAGACTATTGGTTTTTAGAGTCAACAGGCTGCTAATTAAAATATACTGATTTTTCCTTTATGTGTGTCTGTTTCTATATATATATATATATATATATATATATATATATATATATATATATATATATATATATATATATATATAAAAGTAGGATCGGGTGTGGACCAAAAAATTGGTAAAGACCATGATGACAAACTTCTTCCATTTGTTTAGTTAAATCTACGGTTGAGATCATTCAATTTTTTCATTTATTTTTTCACGGTGGCATTATTGACAATACCATCAACTTTGTTGCTTTCCCCTAAAAGGTTAAAGTTGTTGAGGGTATTTTAGTGTTTTTGTATATAAAGGTTTGAGATTATGAACTATGCTCCCAACAACAACGTTTGAGATTGTGAACTATGCTCCCAACAATGTTAGTTCTTCCCATTTTTTCGCTGCATTCTCTTTAATCCCTCCTTGTTGTAAATTTTATGTTTCAATCATTCAAAAAAAATTCCTACTCTAAACTAGTGTATGAAACAAACATCACAGTCAATCATTAATTTTTTTTGGTAAGAATCGTTCAATTTAATCCTAGATTCACTTCGTTTGGGGTTAGTTCTCAAAATTTCAACTCAATGAAATCATCAATCTGGTAAACTTTTGTAATCTTTTGTAATCCCGTATTATTTTGTGAGCCCAAGTATGAAACAAACATTGCTTGGTCCTCCGACAATACCACTATAAGTTGCAACCTATGAATACAACCTTGTATACCAAGGTTTAATTAAAAATTGCACTCTAGTAAGAACGGAACAGAGAAAGAGTAGAACAGAAACAAAAACAGTAAACAGGGAAGAATGAAACGAGAACAGGGGAAGGAACGGTTTTGGGAAAGTTTGCTTGTTCACCAAGCTTGATTAAAAACAAGAGCATAAAACTAAAAATTAAAATTACTTCTACTTAACCCTTATATATACTAAAAGAATTAGACTCCTAAAATAACTCAAAAAACGTTTAAAAACTAAATATTCCAAAAATACCCCTGAGACTCTTTTTGTCCCAAAATCTGAATTAAGCCAACAATTTCCCCCCTAATTCAGAATTCAACACTTTCTTTACTCCCAGCATACTTCTCATCTCTTCAAACTTGTTTTGTTACAAGTGACTTTGTAAGTATATCAGCTTGTTGCTCCTTCGTGCCTATGTGCTTGACCAGAACATCTCCATTTTCTACACGCTCGCGTATGAAATGATATCTTGTATCAATGTGATTACTCCGACCATGAAATACAGGATTCTTCATCAAGTCTAGGGCTGACTTGTTATCCATACGTAACATCACAGGTGCAATGTTTCTTCCGGTTAGCTCCATCACCAAACGCCTTAGCCAAATTCCTTGACAAGTTGCACTCGTAGCAGCCATAAACTCTGCTTCACATGATGAAAGAGCTACACACTTTTACTTATGTGAAGTCCAGGTAACCAGATTTCCATTAAGGTAAAATGCCATACCCGTTGTACTCCGCCGATCATTCACATCTCTTGCTAGATCGCTATCTGTGTAACATGTTATTGTGTCTTCACCAACACTCCTAGAGTACTTCAATCCAAAGTCTATAGTACCTTTATGTACCTTAGGATGTGTTTAACAGCTTGTAAATGTTGTTTTGTGGGTCTTTCCATGAATCGACTAACCAACCCAACATCATATGATATATCGGGCCGAGTATGAGTCAAATACCTCAATCCTCCAACAATGCTCCTGTATTCCTTGGGATTAATTGGTTCTCCTTCCTCGTCTTTTGTGAGTTCCAACTTTGGTTACACTGGAAATTTACAAGGATTGCACTCTTGCATTCCAGGCTTTTCAAGCACCTTATTTACATAACCCGATTGTTTTAAAGTAACTCCATCCTTAGTTTGACTTACTTCAATACCAAGGTAATATGATAACAATCCAAGGTCGCTCATGTCAAACTCCATGTTCATTTGTTTCTTGAAATACTTGATATCTTCACCATGACTACCTGTAACAATTAAATCATCAACATAAACACCTAATATTAGTAACTTTCCGGTCTTGTTTCTTGTGTAAACAACATATTCATGTGGACATATTTTGAAACCAATTTGCTTCAGTTACTTTTCTAATCGTGAATTCCAAGCTCTAGGATCTTGGCGCATACCATATAATGCCTTCATCAACTTATACACTTTACCCAGTTGATCACGATTCACAAAACCTTCCGGTTGAGTTACATAGACTTCTTCTTCTAAGTCACCATTCAAGAATGCTGATTTCATATCTAAATGGTGTACAATCCATCCATTTTTAGCTGATAAAGCAACAAGACACCTATTGTTTCTAAATGTGCGACGGGTGCGAGCACTTCATCAAAGTCAATTCCGGGTTTTTGCACATAGCCTTTTGCAACCAACCTTGCTTTATGCTTCAATATCTTTCCATTTGGATCTCTTTTTAGCTTAAAGACCCATTTAAGACCAATGGATTTTCTTCCTGGTGGTAAGTTTACTAGCTTCCAAGTTTTATTTTTTTCAATTGCACCCAATTCAGCCTTCATCGCCTTGACCCACTCTTCTTTTACACATGCTTCGGTGTATGATGTAGGCTCCTCATCATCATCCATAAAGTATAATTGCTTGGTATCTTCATACAGATCATCCAGCAAGCGATATCTAACTGGAGTATCACTTTCAGTTGAGCTATGGGTGTCGCTTGACATGTCCTATGGCTGGGAATTTGATGAAGCCTCGAAAGTAGATGTTGTGTCAAGCTGTACCCTTTTCAATGCCTAAATGCACCATTTTCTTACTACTATCTTCTAACTTCTTAAGGTAAGGGCCCGTTTTTCTCATATGAGCTAAGCACCCAAAAACCCTTAAGTGTTCAATGTTTGGTTTTCTTCCTGTCCAAGATTCGTAAGGTGTTGAATCTCTAAGGGCTTTAGTTGTTACACGGTTTAGAACATAGACAGCATGAGACATTGCTTATCCCCATAAAACTTCTGGTACGTTCATGCTCTTGAGGTTACTCCTTACCATTTCCATTACCGTGCGATTGCGTCTCTCCACAACCCCATTCTGTTGGGGAGAGTATGGTGTCGTGTATTGTCGACTTAACCCGGTTTCTTTGCAATAATTTGAGAATTCCGATGAAAGGAATTCTCCCCCACGATCAGTATGGAAAGTCTTTAGTTTTTCACCTATTTTGGTTTCTACTTTAATCTGAAACTCTTTAAAAACACGAAAAGCCTCATCTTTGGTTTTCAGTAGGTAACACCACATCACTCTAGTGCAATCATCTACTAGGAGCATAAACTACTTGTTATCTGCTGGTGTGGATGCCGATATTGGACCACAAAGGTCACCATGTACTAGCTCAAGTCTTTTTGTTGACCTGAAGCTTGCTTGACTCGGATATGGCTTGTGAGTTTGCTTACCTATTAAACAACCTTCACAAGGTTGTGTGGGATTTTCAATTTTCGGCAGCCCTTGAACTAGGTTCTTATTAGACATATTTTATGGGTTGTAAAGTTGATATGGCCCATTCGTTCATGCCACCTCCAAGTTTGATCAATGGTTTTGGTAATTAAACACTTAGCATCAACATGATTTAGCATAATTTTGTACAAACTATTTTGAGATTGCTTT